TTCCAGTACCAGGCCTGGGGTAGCTCCACAAAAGACCATGACACCCTGGGACCTGCTGCCACCTTTAGCGTTCAGCCACTGATAAAACATCCTGCAGTACTCGAGTTGGGTGAGGCAGGGTTTCTGGGAGTTGTTAGAGTGGGAAGAGTTCTGGTCACCAGGTTAAGGTAGACTCTGGTTTGTTGCCAGTGCTGATCCTGGAGCTACTCAGCAAAAGTCTCAGAGCACACCAAGGCCAGTCACCACCCGCCTGGGGCCTGGGAACACTAATAGTTTTCCAAGAAATAGTGCAAAGTGGGTGGTGCTGGCTGCTTGTGAGAAAATGTCTTTGGCATTGGGGGACTTGGGTGGAGTGGGGTCCCATTGGAGCTCACCAGATCAATTCAGATTCAGATTTGGCCATGGTGAGGGAGAGCTCAACACAGGAAAATGGTGCCTGCCTGTGAGCTGCACGGGAAGAAAACGTCACACAGGGAAAATAAGGACTGTTCTCCAGCTCTCGTCTCACAGCCACACACCTCAGTCTGCTCCCCACACACCTCCAATTCCCCCCAAGTCACTGTCCCTCTGCTGGAGCCCAGGATGAGTGCCTGTGGGTGAGAGAGTCTGTGCGCAGGCTGTTTAAGAGGATGTCTGGGTTTCCTGCAGCCTTTGTTTCATTTGGATAATCAGAATCCCCACTGTTTTTCACAGCCCGATGTGGGGGCTCCTCTCCCTGGCACCAATACCTGGGGCTGGGGAGCCTGGTTTGGGGCTGGGGTTCCTGACTCCTTCAGGGGGAATCTCCATGGCTGAGATATCTCTACTGAGTCTCAACCGCTACACGGAGGTTTGGGGCCAGCTGTTTTGCATCTCCGTCCCTCCTACCAGCCTCAACATGGCTTCTTCTTTATATCTTTAGTTATAAAATTTCTGTTGAGTCTAACTTCAGATGGTTCTCCAGGTTGATTGTTCTATAATTCAGTTGTAATTTTAATGTGTTCACAGAAGGAAGCAGGCATCGTGTTTATCTACTCCACCATCTTGGATCCTTCCCCCTACAAATTTTATTTAGTGGGAAAATAAGACTATCTCTGCTGAAAATTAATGTAAAATATTTTACTTATTGCAGTAGCAAAGAGATTCATGAATTTAGCCTATTACTAATAGCTATGGCATGAAGGAAAACTCTATTTTTCCTTCTGTACTAGGGTAAATACACATATGTATGTGTGTGTATTCTTATGTATAAATTATTACATAATTGTGTATGTCTCTTTCATTAGAATGGCAGCCCCATGAAGATGGGCACCTTGCCTATTTTGTTCACTTCTGAATCCCCTGAGCATAAACCAATGCCTGACATATTAAATGAATGAATGAATGACATTACTCATTTACACCCTTTTTGTTTAATTTACAAACAGCAAAAATGCTGTCAAAATTCTGAATTTTTAATTAATAAGGTGTTTAAAAGTCACAGAGCTGTTGTGAAGATTAAATGAGGCTTTTGTTTAAAAATTGTATATTTAGACAGAAAAACATAATAGTAGTAAAAAATATGTGAAAATGCCTAACCTAGGTTAGGGAACTCAATAACATTTAAATAGATTCCAAATCTAAAGAGGGGTTTGAGAGAAATAGAGGATTTCCCTAAACCATTCTCAAATTGGAGCCCAAGTAGTCGACATGCAAAGTAGCTTTTCCCTACTGCTGTGAATGGAGTGTTTTCTTGGAAATACAGGTATAGGCAGCTAATAGATGACATTGTTCCCATAAGATGGTAGTATTGAGCCTGCCAGAAAATTCTCCTTACTGTGGGACCTCCTGTGTCTGAAACATTTTCTCCACAAGTCGAAGAAAATCTTGACTTGGTGCACAGATCGGGGTAAGCGAGGAAGGAAATCACCTTTTCCTAAGAACTTACCACATGTCCAGCTCTACCAAGGATCTCATTTGTTTTGAACTTCAGCTTTATAATAATAGTTAACATGCATTGAGTACTTACTTTACTCTAGGCACTGTTTTAAGCACTATTCATGGATTAACTCTATAATTCCTCACACAAACCCAAGGAGGTATGTGTTTTTGTTACCTCTAATCAACAGAAGAGGACACCCAGGCACAAGGAAGTTAAATATGCTCAAGGTCACACCACTTGGAAGGGGTGGAGCCAGTATTCAAACCTGTGGTGTGCATACCAGTGTCTAGGCTTTAAACTGCCTCCCTAGAGGATTATTATCATGGTTGCAGAGGAGCTAAGGCCCAGTAAATGCAGTGACTTTCCAAAGTCACATTAACAGAGCTATCTGGATCCAAAGCCGAGGGTTCTTTACTTTTACTTATATTGTTTTTGCTTCAATCTCACCTCAATAAAAATTATGAATTTAGCGGCTAGCATTCATTGAATACTTACTGTATGCTAGGCATTGTTTTAAGTGCTTCATATGGATTATCTCATTTAATGTTTATTATACTTTGAAGTGATGCTTTTATCAGCCCCTTTGAAATGAAGGTTGAATGTTGGTGAAGTCAGAATCTGAACCCTGGTTTATTTGTCTAAAGAGCTGAAGTTCTTTTATTTTTTATTTTTTTATTAGTTTCAGATGTACAAAACAATGCACTAGTTGTACTTTTCACCCCTCACAAAATGACAACCCCTCTCCCCCAATCCACAGCTCCCCCCTGATATCATACATATCTATTACAATTCCATTGATTCCACGCCCCACACTGTACTCCACATCCCATGAATATATATAAAATTATAGTTGACATACAATATTATTCAATGTCAGCTTCAGGTGTACAGTACAGTGGTCAAGCCTCTACACCATCCAGAAAGTGGTCTCCCTAACAAGACGTGTCTATCTGACACCCTACAAAATATTTACAACATTATTAATTATATTCCCCAAACTGTCTTTCATATCTCTGTGGCAAAAAAAAAATTACCAATTTATGCTGTTTAATCCCTTCCCCTTCTCCCTCATCCCCACCCCCCTCCCATCTAGCAACCATCAGTTTTTCCTCTATATCTCTAAGACTATTTCTGTTTACTTTGCTCATTTATTCAGTTCTTTAGATTTAGATTCCACATGTAAGTGAGATCACTATGCTATTTGTCTTTCTCCAACTGATTCATTTCACTAAACATAATATTCTCTAGGTCCATCCGTATCGTTGCAAATGGTAAGATTTCATTCCTCTTTATAGCTGAGTAATACTCCATTGTATAAATGTACTACAGTTTCTTAATCCAGTCGTCTATCGATGGGCATTTCGATTGCTTCCAAGTCTTGTCTATTGTAAATAGCACTGCGATAAACATAGGGGTGCATATATTTTTTTCAAATTAGCATCTTGGGTTTCTCTGGATAGATACCCAAGACTGGAATTGCTGGGTCATATGGTACTTCCATTTCCAGCTTTTTGAGATACCTCCATACTGATTTCCATAATGGCTGCACCAATCTGCAGTCCCATCAACAGTGCACCAGGGTTCCCTTTTCTCCACAACCTCGCCAGCACTTGTTGTTTGTTGATTTATTGATGATAGCCATTCTGACCAGAGTGAGGTGGTATCTCATTGTAGTTTTCATTTGCATTTCTGTAATGATTAGTGAGGTTGAACATTTTTTCATATGCCTGTTGGCCATCTGTATGTCCTTTTTAGAGAAATGTCTCTTCATATCCTCTGCCCATTTTTAATTGGTTTTTTTTTATGGAGTTGAGTTGAATGAGTGTTTTATAAATTTTGGATATTAACCCCTTATCAGATATATCATTGGTAAATATCTTCTCCCATTCAGTAGGCTGCCTTTTTGTTTTATTGATGGTTTCTTTTGCTGTGACAAAACTTTTAAGTTTGATGTAACCCCATATGTTTATTTTTTCTTTTATTTCCCTTGCCCGGGGGTTATATTAGTAAAAATATTACTGAGGGTCATATCTGCACATTTATTCCCTAAGTTTTTATCTAGGAGTTTCATGGTTTCAAGTCTTACATTTAAGTCTTTAAGCCATTTTTAATTTGTTCTCAACACCTCTACCATACTACTGCCTAGCACGATTGCCTGTCCTCTACAATAGGTCCTGTCCCTGCTGTTCCTGCTAAAGTCATGAGACATTGTTGAGACTACTCCTTGTGTTTCTTGGTCTGCCAAGTCTGCAGGGAGAATAATGTAATGACAAGCTTTTCCCCCCGCCGCCCCCTGCCAAATTCAAATAGTGGGAATATTGAATCCTTTGGGCTCAGGCATGAACTACATGCTTACCATCAATTAAGATTTTTGTCAGTAGGAATGAGGCTGATAGAAATAAACAAAAGGTTTTTAAATTACCTTTTATTGAGAAATAATTCATATATACCACACAGCTCATCTATTTAAAGTATACAATCCAATGGTTTATGGTACATTTACAGAGTTGGGCAACCACAATGACAATCTAATTTTAATATTTTCATCACCCTGAAAAGAAACCCCATGCCCATTAGTCACTCCTCATTCACCCCAGTTATCCACTAATTAGTGGCAACCACTAATCTTCTTTTTGCCACTATTGATTTGCCTATTCTAGACATTTCATATAAATGGAATCATACAATGTGTGATCTTTTGTGACTGGTTTCTTTCACTTAGCATGTTTTCAAGATTCATCTATGTTGTAGCACATATCAGTATTTCATTCCTTTTTGTGGTTGGATAATATCCCACTGTATGGATATACCAAAGTTTGCTTATCCATTCCTATTGATGGACATTTAGGTTGTTTCCACTTTTTGGCTATTATGAATAATGCTGCTTTGAACATTCGTGTACATGTTTTTGTTTGAATGCCTGCTTTTAAGTCTCTCGGGTATCTGCCTAGGAGTGGAATTGCTAAGTCATATGGAAACTCTACATTTAACATTTTAAGGGACTTCCAAATTGTTTTCCAATGTAGCCACATCATTTGACATTCCCACCAGCAACGTATGAGTGTTCCAATTTCTCCATATCCTCACCAACATGTGTTATTGTTTCTCTTTTTTATTATAGCCATCTTAGTGGGTATGAAGTGGCATCTCATTGTGGTTTTGATTTGTAGTTCCTTAATGTTGACCATCTTTCACTGTGCTTATTGACCATTTTCATATATTCTTTGGAGAAATGTCTATTCCAATCCTTTGCCCATTTGTAATTAGTTATTTATTTATATCATTGAGTTGTAATAGTTCCTTCTATGTCCTGAGTAAAAGTACAATATTAGATATATGATATGTAAATATTTTTCCAATTACCTGGATTGTCTTTTCACCTTTTTATGTTATTGTTTGTAGCACAAAATTTTTAATTTCGATGTACTCTAATTTGTTCATATTTTCTTTTGTCACTTGTGCTTCTGGAGTTCTAAGGAATCACTGTCTAACCTAATGTCAGAAAGATTTACTACTATGTTTTCTCCTAAGAGTTTTGTAATTTTAACTCATACATTTAGGTTTATAATCCATTTCAAATTAATTTTTGTGTGTGGTGTAAGGAAGGGGTCCAATTTCACTATTTTCCATGTGGCTACTCAGTTGTCCTCACATAATTTGTTGAAAAGCTATTCTTTCTCCATTTTATTGTCTTGGCACCCTTATTGAAAATTAACTGACCATAAACGTGAAGGTTTATTTTTGTACTCTCAATACTATTCCATTTATTTATATGTCTATTCTTGTGCATGTACCACATTGTCTTGATTACTGTAGTTTTGTAGTAAATTTTGAACTCGAGAAGTGTGAGTCCTCCAACTTTGTTCTTTTTAGAGATTGTTTTAACTATCATGGGTCCCTTGCAATTACATATGAATTTTAGGTTTGACTTTTGAATTTATGCAAAGAAGCCAGCTAGGAATCTCATAAGGATTGCATTGAATTTTTGATCAATTTGGGGAGTATTATCATCTAAACAATATTAAGTCTTCTGATCCATAAACATGTGGTGTCTTTACATTTACTTACATTTAAAAAAATTATTTCAACAATGTTTTGTAGTCTTCAGTATACTTGCATTTTGTTCAATGTATTCCTAAGTAGTTTATTACTTTGACACTATTGGAAATGGATTTTTTTCTTATTTTTTTCAGATTGTTCATTGCTAGTGTATAGAAATACAATTGATTTTCTATATCAACCTTGCATCCTTGCTGAATCCTTTTAGGCAGGTAGTTGTGACCAGTATGAGAAGAGCAAGAATATATCTGAGATTCAGAAAGAATGAATCGGGTAAATCTAGAGTTAGAATAATACTTAGTTACCATGTGCTGAGCATGTTTGTGATAGGTTAATGCTTCTCAATCTTTAATATGCATATGAGTCTCCTGGGAATCTAATTAAAATTCAGACTGTTGTCAGTGGGTTTGTGGTGGAGCCTGGGATTCTCTCTTTCTAACAACTTTTCAGTAGATAGCGGGTGGCTTTCACATATTATTTTTAAGCCAAAACAGCCATGCAAGATATATATTATTATTCCTTTTACAGATAAGAAAATGAACTCAGAAGTTGAGCAAATATCCAAGTTTATAGAACAACTGGTAGAACCAAGATTTGAACACAGTTCATTCTAATGCCAAAGCTGGGCTTTTTCCACTCTACCACACTGGACATCTGGAATAGGAGCTCAGTTGGGAAATGAACAATAAATGGATTAGAAAAAAACCCTAGGTTTTTCTGGGTCAGAGGAGCTGCCTGGAGTACATTTGGGTCTAAACCTTGAGGTTATCTTGGAGAGCTGACCAGCAAGGACCTTGCTTTCCAGGTTGCTAAGAGTGAGGGTATGAGAGCGGGAAGATGATACTAGTAGACAGAACTCAAGATTGGAGGAGGTCTAGAAAGTGGCTCACTGCTGATCAGGATAGACTCCAGAACTGGCTTCTGTATGCTGCTGAGGTCTACACTTGAGATTACAATTATTGTTGATTCTTCCTGAATTCTAAGCTATTTTACTGGGGATAATGAATGACATAGCATCAATGGTATCCCTGAGGGGCCAGGTTAAGGGTTCAGGGATGTGAGTAAGGCTGTGGTCATAATATGGTTAGTTCTGAAGAACTATGTCTAGGTTACCAAATTCCTTTCCAATAGTTTTCAGCAGAATATTAGGGGATTTCCATCACTCGAGTCAAAACACGTGAGATAATATTTTTTTGTCCTTTGCACCTTTTATTGAAGTATGACCCTTGATGACAATCTGGCAGGCATATTAATGTCAGCCAAGGAGGGAGTGGTGGAGGACACAAATGCAGAAACAATAAGATTCAGAAAAATAATAGCTTCACATGGGATAGATACCCCCCCCCAACAGCTGTACAACAAACACTGGTTCTTTATCTATAGAAATTGCCCCCTGCCCCACCCCCCTCTAAAGATCTACTAATCTTCAAAGAATACAATACGCTGTTATAGAAATATTATTGGCATAGATAACTCCTGTGGCAAAGACATTGGGAGTCACCAAGCTCCAGCCGGGAAGAAGTGACCAGAAATGTGCCCCGCTTCCTTCATTTGAAACTTGCGACTGGGAGCCTGGGGTTAAGGTTGTGGCTCTAGTGCCCCCGGATAGCTTTTTGGCACATGAGGTTAAGTAGCAAACAAAACCTGAACCTGGCTTTGAAAGAGGCTTTTCATTTGTTCACCCACTCTATTCCTCAGCTTCCAGTCTCTCCAGTGCTAGGGCTTTATTTTCAGTGTCTGTCTCTTTCTCTTGCATTCCCCTTGAGTATTTACTGCTATATCCTGGCTGAGTCTGCAGCGGGAAGGACTCAAGGAGACTCAATTACCCAGCGTCCCAGGAGCAGGGAGTTAGGAGGGACATGTGGTAGTAGCTCTTGCGCTGATCCCTTTCTCTATATCAATCACTGTGCTGACCTATTACCCACTGGGGCCTGTATGAGTATTTGAAGGGAGAGGGCAGAAATCAAGACCAGTAACTCTCTTTGTAGAAGTCCCTTGGCGTGCCTTCCAAACTGCTACCTCCTGGCAGGTTTTCATGGAGGGCAGAGCCCAGGAAATGAGAACGGGGGAGAGACACTGTATCTCAAGTAACACTGACAGCTTTGCAGTACTATCACCCACAATGGGATTGCCGTGTCAGCACTGCCAGGCATCAGTGTGTGTTTAGTAGTTCACCTTTGCCGAGCTTCACTGCTCAATATAACTTTGGAGTTATTTTATTAAGTTCTTTGGAAACTGTCCTTCTGTGTGAAAATGAGCATCCTTGTATCTTGATTCCAACTCTAGAATAATTTGAGATGGAATGAGAGATAAAAATAACAGAGTCAATAGTACTTTTAGTGTGATAAACTTAAGGCACAGCCAATGTACTGCTGACTAGAAAAACTCAGACCATGGCCATGGTGTCCAGGTGAGAGACCACTCTTTTTCCTGGGCCTATATTTCCAAAAAGCTGTTTTAGAAAAAAAAATCTTTGAACAGTTGACTACACGGGCCTCATCCCCTCAATACAGAACACCTCAATATACTTATTGTGTGTCTTAGAGCCTGTATTTAAAAAAAATGGCAACCACAACCTATATTCAGAGCACTCCCCCATATTCCTTAACCTTGGTTTGGATAAGCCCAGCCCTTTATAAGCCGTCAGCCTTCCTGAATAAAGGAGAATCCTCCACTTGAGAAGAGAATGGCAGGTTGACATTTTAACAGTGGTTCTGACAGCAGCATTGCTCTCGAAGAGCATACTCAGCTCTCCCCCTCCCCCCCAAAAAAAGGCCGCCCTGCTGGCTAAGATTCTTCCATTGTTTTCAAATACAATGAAGAGGAAATGGAAGTTAGGGACCAGTATTTGTAGCAGCAGCAAAGTTCTTTGGCAAATTATTTGGTTGAATGAGGCACCCCTGCTGCTACAGTTAACCTCCATGGACCATGAGGGATTCAGCAGTGACTAGAACAGATGCCAGGGCTTGCTGGCCAGGGCTATACAATATCAAGCATGGGCCCCAGTTAGTAAGGAATAGGGAATTGAGCTGGATAACAAGGCAGAGTTTGGCCACAACTCCCTTCCTGCCATTGGCTACCTGAGGGCTTTTCAGGGATAGAAGCTGCTTACCAGTGTCAGGGCCTTGGCAACAGCAGCAGCACTAGTTGTTTGTGCGCCTCAGATCCTGGCTGGATTATACTTTGCTCTGGTGTTGGGGGTTGGCTGACCCTGGCAACTACCATGAATTTTGGTTCCCTGAGCCAGGCCACAGGCTGAGAAAACAATTAGATAGAGGAGTTCCTCCTGAGGTCACCTCTCCCCTTTCCTTAGCTTGGAGACTGTAGAGAAATAGATGAACCTTTGTCAGTTTCAGGTTTCTTTGGTTTCAAGAAAAAATTGAATCCGGTTGGGGAATGCTAAGCTCATGGTCATTCAGACTTCAGGGAAAGTAGAGGGCCAGGCCACAGCGGGGAAGCTCTCAGTTCAAGGTAAGAACTTCTTTCTTAGACACTTGTTAGCTATGGTGGGAAGAAGTCAAGGCCTTGGCACTCGCTTACCTAGCCATGGTGAATTCAGGCGGATCTGCAGAAAATGCTTTCCTTCTGGGCTAACTTTTCCCTCTCCAAATCCCCTCATCTCACCTTATTAGTTTAAAAAGAAGAAAAAAACAATAAAACATAAAAATAAATAAAATCAAAGGATCATTTAAAATATAACAATAAGAGCCCCCTCCCCCCAATAATGAAACATGTATGCAGAAGTCAGCTTTAGTAGAGCTATTCATGGCCCATACTGTGAAGCCCTTAGAGTAGGCACCTGTAACGCCCAGCAAGGAAGAGGCAAGATGAAACAGGAAGTGGTAGGTCCACAGTCTTAGGACAGGAGGAGAGCCACACCAGCCAGGGCTGAGAGTGGGCCTCTTTCCCCTCATGTAGATGCTGGGGAAGGTCGGGATGGAGCCAATTTGTTTAAGACTAGCTCCTTCCAGGAGGGAATCTGGGGATCCTCAACCTTTGCTCAGATTCTGTTAAGTATAATTCATCTTTCTCTGCTTCCCACTGCAAAACTTGAGTGAGGTCCTGAAATTCTGTAGGCGAATCTCCTCAAGACAGCCAGATCTCTGTGGGAAATGGCTGGGTAGAGTGTATCCACATTGGAAGCTTCTCTCTGAGCCTTAAGAATCTGATTATGGTATGGGTGGGTGGTGAATGCATGATGTCCTAGTACAAAGGAAAATGAAGGAATGGGTGTGGTGAACGCTTGCTGTGCAAACTGTAGGAAGGAGAATGTGGTTGTATGATCACATCCTGCTACAGCTTCTACTTCTTGCTTCTACTCCTTAGGGTAGAAGCTCGGGGCCTTCCTGGTGTCTCCTAGCTGGTTGGAAGCACTGCTAGATAAGGGGCAGTGAGAGACATCCAGGGTAGAGAATATGGAACAAACTGCTCTACTAGCTGCTATCTACTTGCTAACAAACTGCTAACAAAGATCGAAAGCATTTCCCATTGTGGCTGGGCAAGGATGGTGTGGGCAGTCTGCTGGTGGAATTAGAAATTGCTGGGCCCCAGGAGTAGGCTCTCCCTGAGACATTTGAGCTGCTCTTCCCCGAGCTTGATCTTCTCTTCCAGCTCTCGCTGTTCAATGATGAGAGCAGATTTCATCTTCACAAAGTGCTGGTAATCTTGGAGCTGGTCCTGAGGCAGGTAGCGGGAAACCATGCTGAACACTGACTTCTCCCGCCGGTCCACGTGCTCCTTCAGCTCCTTGGCATCTGCCAACTGCCCTGTCAGCTGCTGCTTCTTCTCTATTAGCACCAACTGGGGAAGCAGAAGACCAATTAAGGGCCATTCCAATCACCAGTCATCTGCCTAACCCAGTGCTCCACCGGGGTGTGGCCACAAAGCAACTACCCACTCTGCTAACTGGTCGGTCCTAGATTTCCTGCCCTGAAGTCCACCTTCACGCAAAAGCCTTTCTTTCCTATAGCAGGGGTAGGACATATGAGACAGTTATTCTGAACAGGGGGATGTGCAATCATCTCTTTCCAATTCTAAGCTGTCTTTAATCCATGGACCGCCACTGGGGTTAGCGTAGAGGAAGGATCTGACAAAGCCAGCTTGGGCCCTTTCTGTCTGCTGCACAACCATTACTGTGACAGTGCATTCAAAATGGTGGGTGTCTCTGTGTGGGTGTTTGTGTGTGCATGTATGTAGCTGTGTGTACTCATATGCACATGCATATGTGCCTCTTACTGTGGATTCAAATTTGTATCCAAAACCACTTGCATATGGCAAGGTAATATGGTTTTGGTTCAGGAATGTATGCAGAGTGACCCAATCTGTGGAACTGAGAGCCTCACAACTATGTGGTGAGATCTCCTCCAATGAGACAGAGAGAGAGAGAGAGAGAGAGAGAGAGAGAGAGAGAGAGAGAGAGAGAGAGAGAGAGAGAGAGAGAGAGAGAGAGAGAGAGAGAAGAGAAGAGAGAAGAGGAGAAGAGGGGAGGGGAGGGGAGGGGAGGGAAATAGAGGAGAGGAGAGTAGAGGGAGGGAGAATGAGGGGGAGAGGTAAAATTGCTGCTACTGCTGTTGCTACTACTGCTATTACTATTACTTCTGAAAGCTAGCACTGATTCAGTGTTTACCCTGTTCCAGGCCCTGTTTTAAGTCATTAACATGGATTATCTAATTTAATTCTCAAAACCTCATGAGGTAGGTAGTGTGTTCACTCCATTTTTAAAGAGATTGAGACAGAATGAGGTTAAGTAAATCGCCTACAGTCACACAGCTAATTAGCACTAGAGCCAGAGTCCACACTCTTAACATTATGTTCTACTGACTCTCAGACTAGCCAAACTTGAAAGAGGGAGCACTGAGCAGAAACAGATGGCATTTCCCTCCATCTGCATTCCAGGGACCCCAACTCTACCTTCTCCTGGTTGGCCTCTGAATCTATGCTATTAAGAGCATTCTCCACCCGGGCCAGTCGTCCAGAGAGTGACAGCAACAGGTTGACCACTTTGTCCAGGTCCCCAATAAACAAACGGTATTTTTCAAACTCATTGGACTTGCAGACAGCTTTTAGGTTGGCCTCCACCTCCTCTCCAAGAGCAGAATTGCCACTGATGTCCTCCAGCAATCCTCGCTGGGCCTCTCGCAGGACAGAAAGTTTTCTGCCAATGCTTTCAATAAGCTGTATCTAGGAGAAACAAACAGGAGAAAGCAAAGGATGCGGATGGGACCCGACAGAAATTGATCTGTGCTTGTAACCTCTGTTCTGGAAGCCAAGTAACAGATGGTGTGCTCTATCCTTTCTAGTCACTGGAAACAAAGGAAATCTGAGCAAGTCATGAGCAATTCCAGTGTTCTGGACAGTTACCTTCTCTCCCATCTCTTAGGATCTAGGAGGAATCTCTGTCACCACCAAGCTTCTTGGTGTTAGGTAAGTGGTACCCATAGGCTAATGCTAAAGGTAACTTAATAAATACTTGCTGAGACCATTTACTAAACAGGAACTGGAATGCTTGTGAGAAGAGAGGTTAGAAAAGCATTGTCATCAACTATTTGCCTACTGCTTCATTCATTCTCTTTCTATTTAAGTACCTCTGAAGTTCATGGCACTGTGCTAGATCTGCACTCCCTCAGCTTGGATTTTGAGGCCTTTTGGATAAAAGTGTTGAGTTCTGGAGTTGCAAACACTAGGTTTGACTCCTTGCTCTGCCACTTCCTACTGTGTGATCTGAGACAAATTTCTTTATGGAGTTTTACTTTCTTCATCTGCAGAATGGGGGCAACTGCAGTATCTCCTTCACTGAAATTAATAAGGGTTCAATGAGATAATGTGAGCACAGGCTAAGTGCTCAGTAAAAGCTGGCTGCTATTATTATTCAGTGTGCCCCACTCTACCATTCTAATCTCACTCCTCAGAGCCTTTCAGGGTTAGCTCCTCATTCTCCTATGTGTTCACAACACTCATTCTTGTGTTCCTGACTTGCTCATGCACTACTACCTGCTCTGTAGCTCTTCCTTCACTTTGTCTAGTCCCGTGCTTTCTTCAGAGCCCAGCTTTGTCCCCATCCTCCCTGCTGAAAGACCTTGTCCCCATAACTCTTCTCTCAATGATCTTTTTCTTTGCTGAACTCTCTAGTCCTTTAGAATTAGAGGCCTATCGTGCAATTTGAAGTTGTTCATTTTCTCTTTCATGTGTGTGCTCCTGATCCCTATCCTACTATTGATTGTAAGTTTCTCAAGGGAAGCAATGCCCGTGTCTTCCGATTTGTCCCCCCTATAGGTGTAACCAGTTCTGGGACTGCAATCACAGGAAGGGAGTATGGTAGGGGTGGAGTTTTAGAGTTGGAGATGCTTGGATTCCAGCTCCACCTCCTCAAAACTATGTGACCATGGGTGAGATACCCAGTCCCACTGAGAGTTCTGTTTCCTTATCTGTGAATTGAAGAAGTGCCTCTTCTCCTCCCACCCCCATTCTGAGGGTGAAATGAAATCATACAGGTAAAATAATATTATACCTGACATATTAAGCACTCAATATACGTTTATTGCTGCTGCTATTATTGTTACTATTATTACTTGGGTGGTATTACTTCTACTACCACCACCACCACCATCATCACCATTACCACTACCACCACCTGGATTTGAACCCCAGCTCTGCCACAAAGTAGTAGGGTGACCTTGAGCAAATAACCTCTCTGTCCCTCCATTGCTCTATCTAAAAAGTAGGATAATAATAGTACCTACACATCATAGTGATGCTATGAGAATTAAATGAATTAATACATGTTACATGCTAAAAATAATATCTTGTATATGGGAAGTATGCTCCAGTGTTTGTTTTATTATTATTCCTGTCCAGACACTCTGGGACCATAGGCTTGTAGTTTTCTAGAGTGTGTTCCTTTCTAGTACTTTACTTAGAGATGTCCAAGGTAACCAAGACCAAGAGAGTCTGCTCTGGGTCCAGGGACTGTTGTCATATTTCAGAACTGGTCAAAATTGAAGAGATCACAATGATCTTAGTCTGAAGTATAGTAGGTTTACATTTAGGGAAAATTCCAAAACCCACTGAGAATGAGGATCAATGATATGAATGAGGCAACACAATTAGATGCCAAGAGGCTTCCAGTTATTTCCCCATCCTCTGCTCTCCCAAACAAAACAATGCCAGGAACAAGTGAGGGATGGGGGCCAAATGATCAACTTGGAAAATCACCTACCCACCCCAGCTCTTAGGTTCCACAGATCTGGGAGGATGAAAGTGGATGGAGCCGTTTGTTTCTTGGCACTTGGGCTTTGCAACCTGAAGTCCACCCCTGGGGTAAGGGTAGTGGATAGAGCTGTGGAGTCATCACAGACCCAGCTAGAGCTGCGCTGCTTTTCTGGGATATTACAAATCGGTGATAGCCCTCACCTATCTTCCTCTGAGACAGAAACTGTGCCAGCCCACCCACAATCTCTTCAAATCACTCTGTTGTTTTGCGCTTTGCCATTTCTGATCATTTCTCTCTTCTTCTGGTCAGACACTTATTAGGTTTTCTCCTAATATAAAGGTCCTGAGTAAGGCAGAAGCAGCCCTGCCATGCTTAGGGAACATGGAATGCAAGGAAGCAGACATCAGGATCCATAAAACTTTGATACCACCGTGCTTCCAATTCTTTCCCTGACATTTTGTTTCAGATTGGAAAGTGGTGGTGGGTCTCTTGTAAATAGCCTTGAGCTTTCCTACAGGTCACATCCTGAATGAGAAATATGGGCAGACATGCAATTTACATTGAGTTCAAATGTCCACAAAGTGGTAAATTGGGCCTTTGAAGTTGCCATGGAAACCTAGTTGTTTATGAAATAAAATGTGTACGTGCAGGGAGGGCAAAGTGATTCCAGGAATTTGATTAGAAAACCAGGCTGGTGGTACTTAGAGGAAGAAAGGGGAGGCTTTGGAACAACAACAACAACAACAACAATATCTCCATTTATCTATTTACAATAGTATTTAAAAGAGATTACTGACTATCTTTGCAAATACTAATATTTACCAGCCTTTAAGTTCTTTTCTTTCTTTGTTAGTCTGTTCTGTCTCCCAGAAAGTTACACAGAGAATACAATCAATGACTGCCATTGATTATAGCTGACTGGCAAAACTCTGATGTGCCCTGGGCAGTGAGTTACTTAACAAGTCTGGCTTATTTCAGAGGGACAGCCCGATAAAAAGTCAGACAGTTTTGACTTCAAGTCCTGGATCCACCACTTAGTTTGTAACCCTGGGCAACTTAGCTCTCTCAACTGGTAAAAAAGGGATAGTAATGTCTACTTTGTAGAGTTCTTCTAAGCATTAGAGAGCCACTACCGTGATGATTATGATTACTACTACTATTACTATGATTGACCAGATCAAAAGAAGACCGAAATTTCATTTGTGAGAAACCCAGAGAGGCTATTTGATTTCCACACTGAAAAAAACAAGAATGAACCAAGACATCCTGGAGAGCATAGAAGGCAGGTTGCCCTCCAGACACAGTGAAGCTAAATGCTGAAAATCTGTAAGGTATATAAAAAGTTTCACCTTTTTCTGAGCCAGTTCATGGTCAACTTCCTCCTCTCCTAGGCCAATTTCTGCCATCTCCGGTTGGTCTTTCAACTTGTTCAACAGCTCTGCCTTGGCCACAGAAATATTGTAATAAGCTGAGTAAGAGGTAGGGATCCCTGGGGCCCCCTGAGGAGGCGAGAAGTGCTGAAATTCTTGTCTGTGGGAACAAAGAATGACCATTTGAGCACCTCTTTGAGACGCTGCTGACCTTTCTGCTCCCTTGTGTCCCCATTTATGAAATAGGACCCAGCTTCACCAAGGAGCTGTAAAATAAGGAAATAATGGACCAAGAAGCACTGTTCAAATGTAAACAGGCCACAAGAAGGCTATTATAATAGAAGCCAAGTCATGGCCAATTTTCAGAACTTAGAAGGCTATTTTCTTGCTCCTGACTTCTGAAGATACAGGGACTTCTTTAGAGATCATTTAGTTTGGTCATGGACACTCCACTAATATCCAGAAAAACCGACAGGCTCCTAAAGTTCTGGGCCTCTTATCATCAATGATTCCCCTTGGTTCATGGCCCCAGTATATGGATCCCAAGGGAGGGGCTATGTGGTAGAGATGTATCTGACACCTTAACTATTTGTCCTCCAAGCCTGTTGGTTTCCCTCCTGCCCATCCCATACCCCCACCCACCCCAGCTCTATCTAGTCTGCTTGCTTACAAAGGCACCCTGAGGCTTTCCTGGACACTCTGATAATTTCTTCTTTCCCGATGGTACCACTCATGCTTGAAATGGCCCCTCCACTGCAGATCTCCCAGAGCAAAGAGGTCACCCATGACCTCAGCAGTGGTCACCATGTTGGAGGCTGGGGTTAGCACCCCTGCCAGGGACTTGTCACGGCCCACCACATCTCTCATGAGCTCTTCTGAGACTGCCTGCTGTGGGGCAGGCCTTCGGTCTGAGAAGGGATAGCATCTCTCCACTTCTGGCATATCCCCAGTAGCCCCAGCCTCCTCCATAGTTGCAGGATGAAATGGGGTATAAATGGAACCAGTGGCACCCAGGGGCTTGACAAGTGTAGCAGCAGACCCTGTTGTCTTGGGTTCACTGAAGCCCGCGGGGCTGAGATGCTGCTTCTCGGAGCCCCAGCCCATGAAAGAGAACTGCTCCTCAGGAAAGAAGTAGCTCTGGCTCCATGCTGGCTTGGGTTTGGACTCTTCTGCCATCAGGGCTTCTGGTCTGGTGCAAGGAAGGAAATAAAAAGAAATGCTTCAATGTCGGGTTTCAGGGACGCAGGGACAAATAATTCCACCCATGATTTATGCAAGAGGGAGGCCCACCCTCACTATATTCTTGTTGCCTACCAGCCACCCCCACTTTCCACCTGTCTGTGTCACTGCCCCTTCACTAACCTCTAGATGTTTGAAAGGAAAAATAGGAGAAACTCATTAGTCATTTTTGCAGCTATTTGCAGCTCTTAGATAAAGGTCAAAAATAATGGTTAAAATGCTCCACAGCTATTTACTGATTCACAGTATGCTGTCTCCTAATTCATCACACAAAAGAAACTTGGGCACGCCAATATTCATCATCCTAGTTATTCATTTTACATGTAGGTTTTTAAACTAACAACACTGATAAAGGAACCTTACTAGCTAACATCACACAGTGCTTACTATGTCCCAGAAGCTGTCCTAAAATGGATGAGTGTAGGTATGGGTGTGAGTGTAGATACAGATACAACATTTAATGCTCATGACAACAATTTTACAGTAAGGAACATGAGGCATGGAGAGGTAAAGTGAGTTTCTCAAGGTCACCAGACAGTAAATGGCAGGCCTGTGATCTAGACATAAGTGACCTAACTCCAGAATCTGTGCTTTTAGCTACTGTGCTATTCCCAAAGGGGCAACTCAACATTATATAAAATCCTGCATGTAAGGAATTTTCTGACTGGACTTATCTATGTTAGCAGAGAAAAGAGAACATTCTGGAGGGAATATGAATGTATGGGATAGGGAAATTCCCATCTATAAGAAATACATTTAGGGCATATGTGAGAGTTCTGACTCAGAAAGTGCTGAAAGAAAGTACAAAATTAAAAAAAAAAAGAAGTGGTTGTATGTCGATCATGTGTCAATAAAATTGGAAAAAAGCAAAATAAATTTTAAAAGGGTGTGCTAATTGGAGAGACTCAGTTCCCCAGCTGACACAGCCCTGTATCACATTATAGTGTATCATATTAGGCACTATGTTCTAAGGTTCCTTTTCTCATTATCTCCATTAATAGGGCAGAAGTTACAGATCTCTGAGAACATAATCTAAATTTGATAATAAACACTGAAGCAAAAATCAGATTCCTTCAATAGAGCACTGAGAGGAAATGCATAGAGTCCATAAAGGAAATCATACCTCTACCGGAATCAGTGTTATTAGACTTAATCAACACTCAATAATTCCACTAACCTGCTTCTAAATGTACCCCAGCATTTTGTATGAGTAGTATATGGGTTACAGAGATGATATGGGTTAACTTGGCAGAAATTAGGACTTTTGTTTTTTTGCATTTTAGATCCAAAATATTACACATCTTCTTGCCCCTAACACTATTCTCCCTTACAAAATCTTAGAGCCACTTCCTTCTGGTTTGAAATCTGTATTCTCTCTGAGGATCTTGAATAGGATCTTCTTGATGAACCCAGAGTGGGATGATGTAGTGGGCACAGTGAGCCAGACTACCTGGGTTCTGGTTACCTGTGATCTTCTGCAAATTACTTTATCACCCTGTGCCTCACTTTTCTCATCTAAAAAATATAGGAGACTAATGGTATCCATTTCATAGGTTTGTTACAAGGATGAAATCAACTGATACACGAAAGTGCTTAGAATTAGAACAATGATTGGAACATGGTAAGCAGGCAAAAAATATTAGCTATGTTGGGAATGATGCTGTTCCTTAAATCTCCATCTCTCAAAGAAACATCTATAATTGATTTTTTTTGCAGGCACAAGCCAAGGCTGTATGTAAACAAATGTTTCCCCTTGCATCCCATAGTCATTAAAAAATCGCTGGAACAAGTTACAAGGTCTCTAGTAATAACAATTTCCTTCTCTCAGGCCAAAGTGCCAAGGTGAATGGAGGCACATAAAAGAAGAAGGACTAGGAGGCTGACAGAGGTTAAGTCTGGGCCCTGTAACTACTACCACTGTTACACATTACCCTACAGGAGACAGGATGGCCTCGTAAAAGCCTGGTCTGCTATTAGGACAAGATCTCTCAGAGACAGGCTGCCTAGGACAACGAAGTAGGCATGGGTCTGGGAGTCAGACAGATCTGGCTTTGAATCTTTGCTTTGCAATTCTGACTTAGTCCCTTATTCTTGTTCAGCTTTAGTTTCCTCATCTGTCAAATGGGAATAATAATGGCATGTAGGACTATTGGGATGATTAAATGAAATAATGGATATAAAATGACTAGCAGCATCTGGCACATAGCAAATACTTAATAAATGTTCATTCATTCATGTATTTATTCTTTCTTCTGAATATTAAGTGTCTATTACGTGCTAGGTCACCTTCCCTTCTCCCTGCTGTGAATCACAGACATTTTCCACAAAATATTTTCTAATTACAACAAGAATGCTCTCCAGCTAGATGGGCAGCTTGAGAAGCAGCCACTTGGGGGGATCTGATAAGAGAGTCTCACAGTGTCTGGAAGCCAGGCCCTGTAAGTGCTGTGCTTGTGGCACTTTGGGCTGAAAAGCCTCAACTAGCTCCAGATAGCCAAGTGATGGATATGCCTGTCAGTAAAAGACACAATAACAAGGTACTTTTAATGGCAACAAGTCTCAGGCAGGTTCCTTATAAAAAGGGATTTAAAGAAAGCTATTAGAGGATAGACACCTGCCCCCCCCCTACCGCCACTCCCAACAGAGAGTCAGCTGAGCTGTCTGCGGGAGGACTGGCAGAGCTGAAGGCCAAACCCTTTTGCTTTGGAGCAAAGAGGACAACCTTGCACTGTGGGGCATGCAGATGAGCATTTGCAAAGTGAAGGGAACAGACACCTGTGGCCAGACTACACTCCTGCTTTGGCCTCCCTGCCCAGGCAGCTCACCCAGTTAACTATCACTGAATCAAATGCAAAGAGATGGGGAAATAAGGGTGGGGTGATGGAGAAAGTGGAAGAGGAAACGAATGATCTTAACTGTTATAAGGAATGATCAGGACAGAAAGCACCCAACCTCATGAACGCCTTTGATGCTGGGGCGATGGGGAGAGTTTAGAAGCCCAAGCAGGTCCTAGAGCAGAGGCAGGCCAGGTTGCGAGCTGGCCTCTTGTTCTGGAGAGCAAGCAGAAGATAAGGCAGAAAAGGGCCTGAACCACGATTCTGGGGGAAGGCCTAGAACAGGCAACAAGTGTTTAATGCCTTCTGGCTCAGGGGCCAGGAACTGATACATACCTTAAAGACAAACTGGGAAATAATGAATATAATATTTTGATAGTGATATTTAGGGATCAGAATAGCAACAACTACAATTTACTGAGTACTTGCTATGTGCTAAGGACGGGGCTATGTCCTTCACATAGATTTTCTTCATATTCACAACCACCATGTGGAAAAGTTATCATCATGCCCATTTTTCCAAGTAAGAAAACTGAGGCTGGGAACAGTTTAACTGACCAGTCCAAGGTCATGCAGCTGGTCAATAGTGGAGCTGGAATTCAAATTCATGCTGCCTGCCTCTTCGGGGACCTAATGTTTTTCGTAAGCACTTACTTGGAGGGATCAGTGGTCTCTTGCTCTGATGTCCTCCAATGTCCACCAGCACCATAATAGCGAGGGGGCTGAGCCTTCTCAGGTTGAGATCCCAAGTGGCCCCTTATTGGAGGCAGGAAATTGCTGGAATGGAGAGCAAAGGACTCTTGCTCTTCTGGGAGGCTTTGTGCACCCTGCCTTGAGACCTCCAGGTGACCAAAGCCCAGGGTTTGCGGCTGCTCCGGCACCTCCTCAGGATTGAGAGCACAGGGACCAGTGCTTTCTGAACTGAAATACTGGGGTGGCAGCTCCTCGTCCTCCCCTCCCTCCTCCTCCTCCTCCTCCTCTTCAACCCCATCCTCTTCTTCAGCTTCCTCCTCCTCCTCGTCCTCCTCTTCCTCTTCTTCCTCCTCTTGTTGCTGCTGTTGCTGCTTGTGCTGCTGTTGCTGCTGCTGGGCTGCACGGAAGAGCCTGTACTTCTCCCAATTGGGAGGAGGAGGGCGAGGAGGAGGAAAGGCCTTCTTCCTGGCTCCCAGAGGATCCAGCTGGGTCTCATCAACTTTGGTAAAGAGCTCCCTCCTATGCTGTCCCCAGGACCGGGAGCTCTGGGGTTCCAAGCTGATATGGCTCTCTGAGAAGGCACGGCTGCGCAGTGGGTGGGACGTAGGGGCCACAGGGCTCCCCTCCTCATAAACTGAAGTTTCCTCTGTTTTTTTTGAGGAGTGTTTGAAGTCTCCAAGGAGGTCAAGAGATGAGATTGCTCGGTAGCTTGACAAGTCCAGTGCTGGGTTCTCAAGGCAAGAATGGAAGGGGCTTGCCCATGAAAAGCCAGCCTTGGAATGAGCCATTTCCCTGCAAAAGAGCAGATGGGGATTGTGTAAAATAAGCAAGTCGCAGATGGTCCCATATTTTGGATGACATCATTTATGTAAAATTTAAAATGGCCACAAAAGAATTTAATCTATGTAGTAATTGTAATAATAGTAATATGTAATATATAATATTGATAGGTAACACTTACTGAGAATGTACTATATGCCAGGCCTACTGTTTTAAGTGCTTTCCATGTCTTAATGTATTTAATCCTCATAATAACCCTAGAAAGTTGCTATGATTATTGTCCTGATTTTATAGCTGGGGAAACTGAAGAATGGGCAGGTTAAGTAACTTGCTCGGGGTCATAAAGTTAGTAAGTGGTAGAGCTAGGGTTCGAACCTAGACAGTCTAGCTCTTAAGTCTGAATACACACACCACCCCAGTCTGTTTGTAGCACTCAGATTGAATGTTCTGTGTCCTCAGGCTTACAAGTCTGGTTATCTTGCTTCATCTGTGGGTTTTGTTTGTTTTGTTTTCAATTATGAAAAATTCAAATATTTACAAACATACAGAGATTGCTGTAATAAATATTAACATTCCTACCTACTGCTCAGAATAAGCACATCTGGGTACTTTGCCATTGATGCTCCATGAATTTTTCAAAAAAATTTTAATTAAAATTTATTGGGGTGACAATGGTTAGTAAAATTACATAGGTTTCAAGTGTACAATTCTGTAATACATCATCTATATATCACATTGTGTGTTCACCACCCAGAGTCAGTTTTCCTTCCATCACCATAAATTTGACCCCCCTTTACCCTCATCTACCACCCCCCTGCCCCCTTACCCCCTGGTAACCACTAAACTATTATCTGTGTCTATGAGTTTCGGTTTCTTCATTTGTTTTCTTATTCCTTTGTTGTTTTCAGTTTTATATACCATATATCAGTGAAATCATATGGTTCTCAACTTTTTCTGTCTGACTTATTTCACTTAGCATAATAACCTCAAGATCCATCCATGTTGTCGCAAATAGCACTATTTCATCTTTTCTTATGGCAGAGTAGTATTCCATTGTGTAAATATACCACATCTTCTTTTAAGAAATCAGAAATAATATCCTTGCTTCACTCCCCCACTTCCATTCTCCTGCTGTTTCTCTAGATGAAAGCTATATGATGAATTTGACATGTATACTTTCTGTCCATGTTCTTCTACTTGTAAGAAAAAACATCAAACAGGCCTTTCACTAATATCTCCTATTTTGGATTTAAAACACCTCCTTCTAATGCAATTCCAGTCAGAATTTTGAACAGGAATTTTTAACTATAGAATCTTTTTGATTAGCTTGCAAAGTAAAGCAGGATATAATATTGAAGAGTATTTGCTACAGAAGAATGGGGGGGGTGAGTAAGGGATTAAACTATTATAAAGCAATTGTAATGAAAACACTGTGTTACTGATTGATGGAAAGTCCAGAAACATGAAAGTATCTGTAAAAACATCATATATAATTGACCTCCCATAAGAAGGAGATAAAGTAAGATCATTTAATAAATCTTCTTGAGATAACTGCAGAGCAGTGTTATTTGGAGCTGTAGCATGTATTATATATCAAAATAAATTCCAGGTTCAAGGGTTTAGTGTGTGTATATAAAATTTTAATATATATGTTATACATGTATATCTAATATGCCTATAAGAAAAAAACTATCTGAAAATTCAAAAGACTGTCACGTGTGAGAAGAAATAAGATTCTCATCTTATAAGCAATAGAAAAATATTCAAGGAAAAGGAGTCCAGGATTATTTAAATATGTATAAAAATATGTATAAATCGTCTACCTTCTGTATAATAAAGAGTCACCAAAGTCAGAGGACATCTCTTTAGCCTTGTAGTAGAAAGGGTTAAGCCTGCTAAGCCAAAAGATCTGTCTTCCTGTTGTAGCCTGTGAGCAATCAGTATAATTCTAAGTACTGCCTAGTGACAGGAAATTCCAGCAGTTCAATTAAATCATCAGACAGAATATCCATTCAATAGTCATGATGAAGACTGAGAATATTTCTTTAAATAATAATTACACATAATGGCAGACAAGCTCAGATAGAATGGAAAGCAAAATATCCTTCTCTTTCCTCATCTCCAGTCCCCATCCTAGCTGGCTCATCACTCACATGGATCAGAAATTCATATCCACACATCCCTACTCTCTTCTCATTTAGGCCTTAGCCCACCTAGAGCTCCTTTAGAGTATAACAATCCCTTGTGTGCAAACTCTTCCACATGGCATTTCCCCTCCATAAAAGAAACACACAAACAAGGAGGTGAATGGAAACTAAAAGGATGACAAATGTTATCAGGCAGAGGTCTTTCCTGACCACCTTATCTAAAATAGAGATGACTTATGCTTAATTATCTTTTTTTTCTCTTTTGTTCTTTCTCAGAGGATACATCAGCACCTGGTATTATATCACATACCTATTTTTACTTGTTTATTTTGTGCTCCACTCTCTAAAATGTAAACTCCACAATGGCTGGGATCTTGTGTGTCTCATTCATCTGGTACCTAGTGCCTGGCACACTGTAGGCATTCAATAAATATTTGTTTAATAAATGAATTAATGCCAAAAATGTAAAAAAGAAAAACAAGGGCCAAAATACTCATATCATTAAAAAGTTGAATTAAAGGCAAAAAGCAATAAACAAGACAAAGAAGAGCACTATAATATAATGATGAACACACATGATGAAGATCTAACTACTCTGACTCTCTATGTACCATATAATAGAACATCAAAATTTCTAAAGTAAGTCAGGGTGATGTAAAGCACAGTATAGGGAATATAGTGAATAATATTGTAATAACTATGTATGGTGTCAGATGGGTACTGGACTTATTGGGGTGATCACTTTGTAAGTTATATAAATGTTGAATCAGATATAAACTGAAACTAATATAATATTGTATGTCAACTGTAATTAAAAAAAATTTAATAAATAAAATTTTCTAAAGCAAAATCTATAGGAAATGCAAAGGTAGAAAGAAGCAGAAACAAACTAGACTGTTTCAGCTGATGACAGATTTGAGAGTCAAAAACTAAGATAATGAAAAAATCTAAATATATTCATTCATATATTTAAAAAAAGATTCTACCTTATTTTTAGGGACCCATTGAACATTTTTTAAGTTGACTGTTTATTAAACCAAAAAGTGGAAGTAGTGCAGAGTACAGTATCTAATAATAATACAGTAACCCTCAAAATTAATAACCAAAACTTCTAGCACATAGAAAATAAAAGGGAAATAATATCCTCCACTCTAGTCAAAGAGGAGATCTAATCTGAAATTGTAGAATACCTAGAAAACAACAACAATGAAAATGTCAGAAGCTAGAGGCTATGGTTGATTAAAGCAGTGGTAAAGGAAAAAATTATAGCCTTAAATACTTACATTGATACATAAGAACAAATTAAAATAAATAAAGTATTCATCAAAAAAAGTTAAGAAAAGAGCCACAAGAATTAGACCTAAGCAGAGCAGAAGGAAAACTAATGGCACAAATCAGTACACTAGAAAACAAATGATAAAACTAATAATTAAAGCTAAAAGCTAGTTCTTCAAAAGAAAATATAAAACAATAAGACAGATAAACCACTTGTTAATCTAATTAAAAACCCAAATGCACAAAATTAGAAGAATGAGACTATCTAAACCCACCGTTTACCATAGGAAATTATATTGATAAGTTTGACCCAAAAAAAGCACATTCACATGGTCTTGTGTTAATTCTAACCTTCAAGGAACAGACAATTCCAATGATACTTACATTTTCTATACTCTGAAGTCTAGAGAATAGAAGGAAAAGAAAAGAATCGTGCACAATGTCAATACCAAAACCCCAAAACTAGGAGATACATAAAGGAAAACTAGAGACCATTCTCATCTAAGAATATTAATGCAAAAATCACTCATATTTTTAATTTAAAAACAAATATTAGGACATTAGTACATATAAGGAGTTTATTAATAAACCACCAGCATATATTGGGTTGTCAGAAAAGTCATGACATATTTTTTTCTATGTCTTTCATTGCAAAAATGTGTCATGACTTTTCCAACAACCCAATATATATTGATGGTGCATACTTAAAAAATCCTTTCTGAGAATTTTTTTCATGATTCAAAAAGTTGGAAACCACTGGTCTGGGACAGTCATTCCCAATCAAAGTGGCTCCTAATTGGAATTACCTGGAGAGATTGTTTAAAATGCAAATTTATGGGCCTCATCCCCAGAGATAGGGATTTAGTACCGCTGATGGGGCCCAGGAATCTGCATTTTTAACAATTGCCCCAAGGGATTCTAATACAAGTGGTTCAGGGACTACACTAAAGAAACAAAGGGCCAGACTGAAAAGGATGCTAGTGTTGTGGTTTGGGGGTGGACGTTTGGGGACAGAGTTATTTGTTTTAGTTAGGTTGGTTTCTAGTTTATATGGTCCATCTTCCACCCCTCACCACACACATTCCTAACTTCTATCCCTGTCTCTTTCCCCTTTCCCCATCTTCATCTCCAATCGCGATCTTATGAAATGCAGGCAGCAACAGCAACATTTCCAAAGGCCTCAGTTGGGCCAATGTCCTGCAGCTGTGGTGAGAAGAACCCTGCTCCATGACAGTCATCAAATTTACCATTCTTTCCTTTTTCCTAGCTAGGGCACAGGAAAGTCAATAGAGCAAAGCAGAAAGAACAGTGTCAGAAGGACCTGGGTCAAAATTCCACTAAAATTTGAAAATCTGGCTCCATAACCCAAAAGCTGTACAACCTTGAGCAAAGTATTTCATTTACCTCAGTTTTAGTAAAATATCTATCTTACAAAGCTGCTGTGAGGATTAACTATACAAAAAGGACCTAGCAACAGTGTGAGTACATTGGAAAGTAATTAATCAATGACAGGACTAGGTTTGTTGTTAGGGTGAAGCCCCTTACTCAGGGCCACTGCATATGGTTGTGCAAATTGTGCAGCGTACAACC